GAGATTCTGAACAGAAATAGGTTAGGCTTAATATTCTCTGAAGTGTCCCTTCTAAGTCTAATTCTGTGACTCATTGACTGTGGGTGGTGTGTGTGTCTGTGTGTCTCAGTACCATTGTCAATGATTTGCAATTGAAGAGCCTTGACCTTTTGCAATTATTAACTCTTACTCTTTTAGAGCATTTCCAGGTTTTTGTTCTTACTGCTACATTGAAGAAGTGTGGATGAGGTGAAAATTTTGGGAAGAATTTGGTTCAGGGGAAAGAAGTGTACAGAAGCCTCATGCTGTCCACATCATAAGCACTTTTAATAAAAAAAAATCATTCATAAAATTTCAGACACTGCTTTTCTTTTTTTTTTAAGCACTGGACATAACTACTATCAAATACCGCTAAAAATAAAATTAATGACATTTTTAACAGGCAGGAAAATACTTGTTTTTGATAGGAGTTATTCCTGACCATCAAGTTGTCAGAGCTCAGATGAGAATTTGTAAAGTGCAAGAAAAAAAATTTAATTCTTAATTTAAAACATTATTGAAAATAAAGAAATGGGAAATGGACAATAAAAACTGTCTCTGACACCAACTATGATTTCATCCAAAAGTTTAATAAGAATTAATTGCCTTCACAAGGAGAGCTGAAGAGTCCAGAAAATGCCTTAGACAGCAAAATATATGGCCTACTTGCCAAATGGAGAGAGATGGCTACCAAAGGCGACACTGGATTACAATATAAGCACGTCTGCAAATTCTTAAGGACAATGGACAGTTATCAACAGTATTGTCTCATCAAACAGAAACAGTGAATGGTGAAGTTATTTTTTTTTTAAAGTTTGACAGTATGTCCCACTAAGCAAAAGAGCATTCAAGAATGCAGATGGAAGGAGGAATACAAACAGAAGAAGAATGGAAGAGATTTGCAAAAACTATTTCAATAATCGTTTTCTCCATCAAGAAAAGTAGAACGGTTTGAACTGTAATGTCACAGTCTCGGAGGTGATAAGGTAGAATAGGTGAATAAGGTGAGAAAGCAGAACTGGCATTAAATAGAACAAAGAAGAGAAAAGCAGCTCAATTGGGTCAAATCTAGAGGAGATCCATGCTGAAGGTGATATACTTGTAGGTACATTGAGGGTACACATATAATACAAAGTATCTGAAGTACAAAAAAGATACCAAAGGTATGGAAAAAATCTTAGATCTTATTAATATAGATAAAGGTGACTGATAGAGCACATAGTTTATGTATGCTTACTCTCCCACTTATACAAAATCCTTATGAGCATTATTTATCTATGAGTTGAGGACATCTTCAATGAAAGATTTAGTTGGGAAGAAATAGGCTTTTGTGAACAATAGTTAACAATGGGACACAAAGCCTTACTATCTCATAGTTAAATAAAAGACAGAAAATATTATGCTTATTGTTTGATTACGAAAGAAGATTTTAACTCAGTGAAACAATATCTTCTTAAAGGTGTCTCCTATTCGTACATCAAGATTGTTTAGGACTCCTTTCAAGGTATAACAGAAATAACCCTGGACCTCTTGGTAAACATTGGGCAAATTATAAAACAGAGAGATGTATGCTCACCAAAGGTATCTGCAACTAATGGAGGAGGATTTCCCTGTAGATGTCCTCCAGAAGATCCTGTTTGCAGATGATATTGTGTTGATTACATCATGCTTCCAGACTTTACATAGCCTCTTGGAAGAGACCTGTAATAATAAAAAAAAGTCTTGACCACAGAGGAAAGGTCAGGTAAATGATGAGTGCATTGCCTATACAGTCATCCTTTCCACATCATGGGGGTTGGGGTGCCAGCATCTCTGCGATCTCGAAAATCCACATAAAATTTTTTGGCCCTCCCTTCACATTAGAGAAGAAGAAATAATATGTATTTATGGTAGATATTAGAAGATGAAATATGTTGGTATTATACAATACTCTGCATATATTTTGTGCTTTTCTAAGTTTCTAAACTTTTTCTGTGTTGTCTGCTGGTTTTTGTATCTTGCCTGTGGCTTCCACAAAACTCCCCCCAAAATTCCCATTTAATTTCTTATGCTGACCCCTTGATTTATCAAAACCTCAATGGGGAAAGTCGAAGTGTGGATGGGATAACTATTTCAACATGCATTTGTGTGTGGCTGGGTGGTGCAATAGGTAGAATGCTGGGCTTAAGAGTCAGAAAGACTCGAGTTCAAATCTAGCTGCAGATACTTAATAGCTACATGACCTTGGACAAGTAACTTAACTTTTGTTTTTGTCAGTTTCCTCTAATGTGAAATGGGGATAATAATAACTCCTGTCTCCAAGGGTTATTTTGAAGATCATATGAGATAATATTTGTAAAGTACTTAGTATAGCATTTGGCACATTACAGGTGTTATATGAATGTTTATTCCCCTCAGTCACCACCGCCACCTGTGTCCTAATTGGCACCAGAAAGCAGAACTCAGATTAATGAGTGGAAAATGTAGGCAGTCACATCTGCATGCCATATACATTTTGACCAAAAGTCTGTATACCTGTGACAGACAATATAAATGGATGAGCTAGATCTATCTAGCATTATAGAAGAATGAAACCGACTTACTGCTTTTGAGAAGTTTTAAGACTCTTTCCTGCCTTAAGCTTCCTTTGAAAGCCAAATTTGTCCATCTTTTCAGTCCTTAAGAATTTAGCAGTATTGCTCTATGACAGCAGGAAGTGGAATGCCGTCTTGTCCAAAGACCTAAAGATCTTTAAGATCTTAAAGAATACCATAGAAAAGTATGGTGCGGGTATTAGCAGGATGCAACGTGTAATCAGTGAAGAACTTTCATGTCATCAAGGAATTACATGATGAGAAGAGATGATTGCATTTGGTAAGAGTGCAGGAGAATAGGTGCATAGCCGAGAGAGCTCCGCTGGTACCTTCACAGTGCTGAAAGAAAGTTGAGGAAGCTTCCAGCACTTTGGATAGACCCTCTGTGGGGAACTTTGGATTAAAAAAAAAAAAAGATTTGTACATGATGAGCTGGCATGGATAGGTTATGATGTGCAGCCTTGCAAAGAACTCTTAAATCGGTAAGACCACAGATCCTTGACTATTAAAAAATAAAAGTATTCCTTTTTACTTTTTGGAATGCCCACATTATGGACCTATTATGCTTTTTTTTTCCTATCTTATCAATTTAATGAGTATGCTTGATAAATCATCTTTTGTTCATTTGGAGAAAGGAATAATTTATGAAAATATTCATTTTCTTACAAGTGGCTTATGCTTTTATAGTTTTGCTTGGACTGGATCTGTAGTTTTGTTGATGTAGGGAATTCCCAATAAGTAAACTCCTACCAATGGAAATCAGTACCTGCTTGGGAATTTACAGTCATGGAGAGTTGCCTGGGTCACTGAGAGGTTATCACAACTAATAGGTATCAGAGGTGGAATTTGTGACTACTGAGTTGTAATTAATGGGGATGCTGGAAGAGGGACCTGGTTTAGAATGAGAGGGATTTTGATTTTTGAAAAATGTCTAACTTATTTGTGATTTTTGTTTAAAAGCATTATTTGCTCTTTCAACATACAATTTCACATCTGTTACACATTTTTAAATAACAAACCAATACATTACTTTTTCCAAGAGAGCCCAGTTCTACTGAGTTGTTAAACACGGGTCATTTCTAATGCTACCTAAGTTAACATCATACAACTAATATTCCTCCTACCTTCTAGTATTGATTGATCGATGTCATTCAGTCAACATTTGTTGAATGTGTTTGTATATGCTTGTATGTATATGTGTGTAAATGTACCTGACAATATGCGGTGTTTTACAAAATCCAGAAAAAGATGTCAGAACCACAGTATCCCTTAACTTAGAGAGGAATGGAGTAACAAAGTTTGATCGTGTAATTTTGGAATGTATCCTTTTAATAGTGACTGTTATGGTTGTTCCCACGTTTTATAGTAAGGCAGACTTTTTCAGTAATAGTAAAAATATAAAAATCTTCTGTCCCCATCCCCCCCCCCCGCATTTCTCCAGCTTTGTCAGCTAAGAAGGCTTGTTTTCAGAATCTGATCATACCTCTTTATAATCCTTCTGACTGATGCTCTTGTACATTTCATAGGGTCATAGATTTAGAGCTGGAAGGACTGGGACCTTGGAGGCTATTGAGCCCAACACCCGCATTTCACAGATGAGGAAACTGAGGCACAAAGAGGTTAAGATGACTTGCCCAGGGTCACACAGCTAGTAGGTGACTGAGGTGGGATTTAAACCCACCTGACTCCAAGTCCAGTGCCTTATCCCCATTATCCCCACTTCCTCTTTCAAAGAATTTTTCATGTGTGAGGACCCCTTGTTTATTAACCCTTAGTACCTCCCTAAATTGTCCCTTGATTTTTTAAATGAGGTTCTTCTGTTACTTTCTATTGTGTTAATTGTTCCTATGTTATTCCTTCATCTTTAAACGTTTTTCAAAATTTTTATTCTTTTTTAAAATGCAACTTCAATTTTATCATGCCCATTAGACTTTATAATAAAATTGTTTTTCCCTTCAAAAATACCCTACTGTTCTGTTCTAACTTGTAACATTTTGTGATTTATCATAGCTTTGTTCCAGGTGTACCTTCTTTATATGTATATATATGGCATGTTATAAAGTTCTTTGTTAAATATTTCTAATCCTTTCTTGTTGTTGTTGAAAAACATAATGCTATTGTGTTATTTTTCTTACTTAAAGTAAAAAAAGTATCTGGCCCATTTCTTTAAAAGATGACAGGTCAGACTTCTCCATTCTGGCCTGAAATTTTTACATTAAAAGATATGAGAACATAGTGTAACACAGAAGAAAATACAGTACTTAAAATCTCATGGCTGTAATATTTCTGACTTGGACAAATTTATCAAAACTGAGCTTTCTATAGATTGTTTTCTTAACTAAAAAAGAATATTCTGTTATTCTTTCTTTGATAAACTATACAGGATAAAATCAATCTCTTCTGTTGCAGGTGCGAGAAGATGTACTAAATTCGTTGAATAACAACTTTCTTCAAACACTAAATCAAGCTTGGAATGATCATCAGACAGCTATGGTGATGATTAGAGACATTCTAATGTATATGGTAGGTGGTAATTCTTTCAAGAGAAATGATATATGTAAAATGTAAGAATGGGATCCACTTAAAAAAAAATTTCCATTTCTAAATACTAAGCTTCTGTAAAGTCCATAGAAGCAAGATAATGGTAAATTGCATATTTCCTTAATAATCACAGTGGGAGTGTTGTTCACCTTTTTGGTTTTTTACTGCCATTTGTGATTCAGAATGTAAAATTCTCAGAAAATATTGCAAAAAAGAAGTGTCTGGGTCAGTACGTTAGCACTCACAAATTTTTTATGCTGAATATTCAGTTCTCAGTTTTTTAACTGAAGGAAATTTTCATTTTCTTGTCATTTATATAGGTTATTTTTTGAAGTATAATGACTGGAATTTGAAAAATTACACATTTAACGTAGTTTACTCCTTTAGTGAGTACTTTCCGTGTTCATAGAAAGAAACTGTTTAAAGTTAATAGCATTTTGAAGGTGTACTTGCATTCTCATCTTTTTCCCCACAGTAAAAATCCACTCCTGAAACATGTTTTTCACATGTTCAGTAAGATAAAATCTTTGAGGAATGTTATGTGTAGAGTAAGGTACTTGATTAATATAAGGGAGTTGAACTGTCCATAGTTAGCAGTTATCTTTTGGATTACAGAATGGTCACATTGTGATTATACACACATAAGTTTTCTATATGATAAAGTATCTCAAGCTTGGATATGATGCTCTTACCGACATGCCATAAAATTCAGTTGTGTTGGAGCTAGAGGCTCTATTGTAATGATAGGAAAACTTGTTCATCAGACCCTTACCCAGGTGGGCATGTAATTTTAAAATAACTAGCATTTAAATCTGTGTAGACTATTTCCTTGAGCCTTACAAAAACCCTGTGAGGTAGATAATAGTACCCTATTTTAGAGATGAAACATAAGTTTCCAAAGGTTAACTTCTTTACCGCTGGTCATGTAGGTAGCAGGATTTGAACCCATGTCTTTCTGATTCCAAAACCATCACTCTATCCACCATACCTTGTTGCCTCTCTTAGTAGCTGTATGGTGTAGAAGCCTTGTGACTTGGTCTACTCTTTAGGATTTACTGCTAAGTCATAGACTTGTTTTGATTCTTATTGAAGGAGAGAATTCTATTATGAAGTCCTTAAGCTGACAAATCACAGGTCTTTCAGGTATTACAAAATGAATTCATCATAGTTTAGAGAAACAGAAATTAATAGACCTTTATTAAATGTAAATACAGACTGATCTGATCAAATTTTAACCATGGTACTTACTATGTCTATGCTTTAGAATCAGGCATATGAGCTTTGCTTTCAGGACTTTGTCCTTTTAGCCATATTGGCCCCAACTACTAAAATGCAACAGAAAAAGTGATATAATTTCCATTTATTCTAAGTTTTTCTTTTCTTTCTTCATCCTTCTCTTCCTGCCAGTGATCCTTGCTCTGACAGGAAAACTTAAATGAAGAGCATGGATCTGATCTTATTGGTGGTAGTAATGTGATTATACAGAGAAGCTATATTACTTTGATGAAATTGTAGAAATACAACATAGCCAATATCACAGAAATAACTATCTTTGGCCCTGATGATTGATTCTCTGTCTCACTTCTTTTAGCGCCTGTTTCAAAACTTCTTTTCTCTTTTCCAGTAGTAGCCTACTCAACTCTTCCTCACGTGCTTTCAGAAGAAGATCCTGTCAAATATTTCAACAAAAAAAAGTGAAAGAAGGTCCTCTACTAAAAGGAGATGGTAACATTAGGTGGCTTAAGAAGAGAAGAAAAGGTTTAGAATAAGTGCTGAGGGGAGTGGAATAAAGAGCCAATCAAGGAAGAGTAAAAGAATGTGTATGCAGCAGTGAGGACCTATTTGAGAACGTATAACATAAATTTGTAATGGACCCAGTTAGCATGATTGTATGACTTTGTTGGCATTCTGTAACATGTTGTCCTTATCAACTCTGTACTTCAAATCTCCTCCCCCTCTTCCTCTCCTCTTGGAGAAAGAGGTAGCCCTTTTTACCAAGGCTAAATTTTGTTCTCATTTCCTGTTTTCCTTCAGCAGTGTTGTCACATGGATCATTCTCCCAAGTCTATTTCCTGTTGCTTGGAGAATGCCAAGATCTCCATCATCCTTTAAAAGCTTCCCTTTGTTCCACCTTGCCTTCAGGTTACTATCCTATATCTCTTCTCTCTTTCACAGCCAGCCTCCTAGGGGAGGAAAAAATATGCTCACTGTCTCCATTTTCTCAGCTCTCATTCACTTTTCAGCATCTTGCAGTCTGACTTCTGACCTTGTAACTTAATTGAACTTTCTTTCTCCGGGATTAAGCACATTAATTGCCAAATATTATGATCCTTTCTCATTCCTATCCTTCTTGACCTGTGCAACATTTGACACGATTGATCATCCTCCTCCCCTTGTTCTGCACACTCTCTATTCTCTTAAGTTTTTGTGATTTGTTCTCTCCAACATGTCTGGCCAAGGGTGTATGGAGTGTTTGGAAGGACTAGCACCTCTGATATGGAGGCTTGCTGAGCCCTTTTCAGGGCTGTTCTTCCCCCTTTGGTGTCCACTTGATTCACCCAGTTCTTACCTGTGGCTCCAAGAAGCTGTGACATGCTCAGCAGCCACACCCTGGTAAACCATCTCAGCAGACAGGCTAAACCAGGTTTAGGGTAAGCAGCAGGCCTCCAACCTCTTGGTGAGTTAAGGGGATGTTTACCTCAAGCATGTGAAGATTTTCTTCTGTGGAATGGGTGGATGAGAACACTTTGTTCCAGTGGCCATGCAGGTAGCTGAAGCAGGCATGTAGAATGCTTAGAGCTTAATCAGATATGGAAGATGCTAAGGTCATCCACTGCATCTTGGGCCTTTGCCAGTGGTCTTGACTTTTGTCTTGCTCCTGGACTTAAATGACTCAGGAAGAGAGAGTGAGACTGGTGACTTTGTACAACTCTGCCTCCCTTAAATCCAGTTCACATGCAAATTAAGATATTGCCCTGTGATGTCATTGGTCCTCTTCAAAATCGAAATATAAACATGTCTGACCATTCCTTTTTAGTCTCCTTTGTTGGATCACCATCCAGTCATCCTGTTCTCTATGCTGACTGTACACCAGAGCTCTCTCCTGGGTCTAACCTCTGTATTTTCTTGGTGTTGCATAAGCTCCCATGGGTTGAACTATATGATTTCTCTGATTACTGCTTTCAGTACTATGTATCTATCCCCAGTTTGTCTCTTGAGCTCCAATTCTGTATCACCAGCTGTCTGTGAAACATCTCTGAGCATATTTTGACATTGTTTTCTTTCTCCATGCCTCTGCACGAGTTGTTCCCCTGAAATACACTCCCTCCCTTATCTTCACCTCATGAAATCTGTAACTGTCTTCAGGCTCAGTTCAACTGCCGCCTTCTAAAGGACTTCTGTCCTGATCTCCTCCTAGTGCCAGTGACCTCCTACCAAAAGTCGCTTTGTGTACCCTTTGTGTTTAAATTTGTATTATGTCTTGTTACTTTACACTGTGGACTTTTTCATTTCTTTGTATGCTAAGCCCCTGGCATAGTTCTTGGTATACTAGTGTTTTTTATAAATATTCCTTCAAGCTGTCAGTGTTGTTGATATATTACTAGGCAGAATGATTCCTAATAATTTCCTCTTCATTTGTCATGGATGGTTGTTTTTCATTTTTCATTTTGGTAATTTGGCTTTCCTCTTCTTAATCAAGAGGTGGTAGTCTATCTTACTTGCTTTTTCAAGCAATCAGTCCTAGGGCTTTTTTGGTCAATTCAATTTTTTTTTTATGTTTGTCTCTTCTTTCATTTTCAGATAGGTGCTTAGTAAAATTCTTGTTGGAGTTAATAGATAAACCAACAAAGTTCTATCCTCAGGCCTTTTCTCTGTACTCTCTCCTTTGTGATCCTGTCCACTCCATGGTTTCCATTGTCTTATATGTAGATCATCTCTAGATGTATATAATCCCACCCTTTCTTGGAGCTTTTCCCTACCATTTCCAACCACCTGATGTAAGTATCTTTACTTGGATGGTCTGCCAGTTTCTCATATTTAACATTTCCAAAATTGAACTCACTGTCTTTCTCTCCAAAATTTGACCCTTTACCAACTTTTCTTTTTCTGTTGATAGTACCACCATCAACAGTTTCACACAGTATCAAAATCTCAGCATTATCTCTGACTCTTATTCCCTTATGTCAGATCTTCCTCTCAAATACTGTTTGCGTCTATCTTTTCTCCATACTAGCACTGCCATAGTTGAGGCTTTGGTTATTCCTCACCTTGACTACTGTAATTGCTTTACTTTGACTCCGTTTCTCTTCTTTGTTTTTATCTAGATGCCAAAATTAGATTCTCTGATTTGTTCTTGATATAGATGCCAAAGCAATCTTCCTAATGCACAAAGTCTGAACATGATATTTCCTTGTTTAAGAACAGTAGCTGTATAGTTTTGTTGATCTTTTTGGGTTTTAGAATTTCTATTTAAGGATTTTAATATTTGTTGGTTTTCTATTTTTTTATTTAATTTCATGGCCACTTTATCTATTCTTTCTCTCTTTTGTTGTTAGAAGCGTTTAGAAAGATAAATTTTCCCTAAAGACTTGCTTTAGACTATTCCACCTGTCCACCTTTATTTCATACCATTGCCCTTTAGACTCCATTCTTTTGTTGTGGTGGTGGTGGTGGTGGTTGTTGTTCAGTCATGTCTAACTCTTCATGACCCCATTTGAGGTTTTCTTGGCAAAGATACTGGAATGGTTTGCCATTTCCTTCTCCAGCTCATTTTACAGACAAGGAAATTGAGGCATGGGGTCACACAGCTACTAAGTATCTGAGGCTTGAATTTGCCCAGGGTTGCACGCTAGTAAGAGTATGAGGCCAGGTTTGAACTTGGAAAGAAGAATCTTCCTGACTCCAGGCATAGCACTCTATCCACTGTGCCAGTTAGCTGCCCCATACTCCATTCTAGCTGAACTGAGTTATCACTCACTCTT